ACGCCAAGGCACCCAGCAGGAGCCCCCTGGGCCCACTCCGGCGGGCTCTGCGGGGGCTTCCACAGCACCGGGAGCGCCCCGCGGCGGGACAGGTGTCGCCCTGGGCCCCGTTGCCCACGGCTGTGAACCCGTGTGCGTTACGCGCGTGGTCTCCTACTCAGACGGTGGGGACACGGAGGGGACACGGGATAGGGGCTCAATCGGAGCTGTACCTGGGTCTGGGTGAGTCCCAGAGATGCTGCGAGCTCGGCTCTTTCGGGGAGAGCCAGGTACTGAGTCTGCTGGAACCTCCTGTTCAAAGCCTGTAGCTGCAAACTGGAGTAAATAGTCCTGGGTTTGCGGATTTTTTTCCCTTTCCCATTAAAGCGAACTTCCCCTCCTTCTACCACAGTGCTTTTCTCCGATTCGGCCCCTACAAACAACAAACGACGCAGAATAAATAATAATAATAGCAGGAATAGCAATAATAGCAGTAACAGTAATAGCAGCAGCAGCAGCAGCAGTAACAATAACAACAGCAACATCGACAATAACAGTAATGAGAAGGAAGAAAAGTGAAGCTCGAGTAACGCTAACAAAGGCTCCGGGCGATTATGGCAGCCCAGGCGTCTTCCCAGCGAAAGTTTGCTATTTTTACAGGCTGCAGTTTAGGTTTAATTACCCTTAATTGCATACATTGTTTATAGCGCTACGCAATAAATAATTACGAAGACTAATACGTGCACATCTGGGTTGGTTTCTTTTCCAGCCAAGCATTGTATGCTCTGTGTATTGGTCCCCTGTGATTCTCAGCCTCTCTTGACTAATATTTTGTAATTTAATTTAATTTTTGCCCCCGATAGATTTTTTTTAATACAACACTCTCCCTCCCGCCTTGCCTTCCCTCCTCCCCTCCCCCCCCTCCCCAAAGCCGAGTGCACCTACCTGTCTCCTCTAACCGGGTCTGAGTCAGGCTGGAGCTGTTGGGGTAGGACTGCACTGAACTGATGTAGGGGTTGGTCGAGTGGCTGCTGACCGAGTTCACATAGGGGTAGCCCAGCGGTCGGGAGAAGGACGAAGCTGTGCTGTACGAGCTGTCAGGCTGAGAGTGGCCCGCGGAGTGTAAACAGTGCATGGAATAGTGTCCATGGGACATGGGAGAAGGAGACATTTGCTGGCTGGGCGGCCCAAACTCCATAAAGACAGCCTTCCCTGAGACGGGGCTATTTAGACTCTCTGGCATGGTAGTCATGGTCATTTCTTGTCGCTTGGTCTGTGTGTGTGTTCTCTCTTCAGCTTGCCTTTTTGGGGTCTGTTGTGTTTCTCAGGACAGGAAAGAACCCAATTTAAGCGAAACAGGGTTTTTCACTTTCCATTCATAAGAAAATGGAGTTTGTCTCTTTGAAAAGTCTAAGCATGATGCTGTAGATCTACACAAACTCGCCTAAAAGCTTTGACTCAGCCAAGTCTATGAATATTCATGAGACGGCGGAGCTGATTGGTCCACCGTCTTGCATAATCGCTTTGGATTGGTCCGAGGCGCTCGGGGCTCGCCCGGACCCCGGTGAGCGCGGAGAGCCGGGCTGGCAGCGCCGCGCTTGCCCGAGCGCCGGCGGCGGCCGCACGCCCGCCCCGCTCCCGGCCGGCCCCGGCACGGAGCCGCCCAGGAACGCACTCCCATCGCAGGCCGCCCGCTCCCGCTGCCGGCGACCGAGCGCGCCGATCCGGACTTTGGCGGAAGGCATCGCAACTCCCTCCACCCTTCTCCGCCCCTCGCCGCGAAGGCGGCGCGGAGGGGAGAGCAGCCGTGCTCCGCCGGCCCCGGCGGGCTGCGGGGGTTCTTGCAGCTGCCCGCCCCGCTCCGCAGCCGGCGGCGGGACCCGCGGACAAAGCGAGCGGCCCCCGCCCGCCAGGCCCCGCGCACTCCGCGGGCGCGCAGGGGTTCTCGGCCCCGGCCCGCGGGTCCCGGCGCCGTCCGCACCTCCCTATCGCGCCGCCCGGCTATTGCCGTTGTTGCTTTAAAGGGAAAAAGCCTCCAACCAAAGTCGCCCTGAAAGGGCCCAACGGCGCATTTGAGCTTAAAATGAAAACTTCCGCGTGTGTGAGCGGTAAATGAGGTGGGACTTAGGAGATCCTCCCCAGAAAGCCCACGATGAATCTCAAATTACTTTGCTAGATAATTAGAAAGTGTTGATAATTATTTATTTCATAATTCTGTGGTGTGACTGTAACAGGAAAATGATCTTGTGAAAGTTCACACGTGCAGATGTATTAGTTACTGATTCATTTGATTAAATGCTAGTCTCAAGTGCTCTGATCCACAGCTGAAGGCGGCCCCATTAGCATAACACTGATGTTTAATTTTCATACGCATAATTAGCCATATATTTAACACTAATAGCAACATGCAGCCTTCCAGCATTAAACAGCCTGGGATTTGATCTGGCCTGGGCTGAACTTTCCCGGTTACACCTAGGCTGTCTAGGGTGCGCAGTTATCACTGCACTACATCTATGTAATCAAGCACATTTTGGCAAAGGGAGAACACCAATAAAAATGAACATTCAAAACAAATCGCAGTGTTGATGTCGTTAGAGGTACTAGCGCCGGCAGCGGGTCTTGGGCACCCCCGGCAGAGCCCGCATAGTGTTCAGGCTCCTTTGGGCAGCGACGGCCCTTGAAGCAGCCGGCCCCTGACTGTGCAAAGCTGGCACAACCGAGCCCCTCTGCTCCCTTTTTTTTTTTTTCCCTTTCATTAGTGGCTCTGTCGGTTTTAATTGCCCGTTTCCTAACGACTCTTTTACCTCCTTTCCCCCTTCTCCCCCCCGCCCTTTTTTTTTTTTTTTCGCAGTGTTTTGGGTTTTTTTTCCTTTGCTTGCAATGCGCGAAGTTAATTCTCGCTAACTCTCCGAGGCTTGGCGCAGAAGGGGCAGTGACGGTGTTTCTGCACGCACACGGTGCCCCCCGGCAGCCAGCTCTGCCCTGCTGGCCATGGAAGTGACCATCCGAGGCGGGTCAGCGAGCTTGCCCGGGCAGGGAGCAGGGCGCCCCGGCAGCTCCGGCACCTCCGCCGGCCTCAGCCCCTCAGCCTGACAACTGCAGAGAGGGGAGGCCGCTCCGCGTCCGCCGGGACTGCCGTCTTCTCCTCCGATCGGCCGGACACAGCAGTCCCGGGCCGAACCACAGTCCCTCCAACCCTGCCAAAACCTCGCGGAGCAGTCGGTGAGGCTCTGCTCGCCCCCGTCCTGCAGAGCAGGGCTCCCCGGCCCCCCGCGCACTGCTGGTCCCGGTCAGCGCGGCTTCGGCGGGCGCGGAGGGGCCGCGGCCACAGGACGTCCTGACGCCCCGGGAGCGACTGCCACGTCGGGACTCTCCTGGTGCTGGCCCGGCAACGCATTCTGCATGACGGGCTTGTGCGAGGCGCCGGCTGGCCCCGAGCAGTCGAGACATCTCTTCAGTCTCGCTCGTAATTAGGATTACAAAGGTGCGCCGTCAATGCCTCCGCCTGGCCGCCAGTGCGCTGCGGCCGGTAAAACTCGCAGTCCCACCAGAGTTACCGGCGGGACTTCAGAGCGCAGTGATTACCAGGAGCTGCCGGCAGTCCCCCTGCTCACGGCTGCCCCGTTCCCACCTCATCCCACGCCGCGGTAAGAGCAAGACAGGAGGCAAAGGGCAGGATGGTGAGAAACTTGGCACCTGCGGTGGTGTCCAGGGGCTCCCGGCGTGGCCAAAATCCACGGGAGGCACCTCTGGTGGGCCTCCGGGACGTGCCGGACACCCAGCTGCCCCCAGCGCCCCTCAGAAAGGACGTAAGGGACCAAAATACATGTCCCTCCAGGCAATGCCGAATGTCCTTTGCACTGTTAATATCTGCATATTTGTAAACTTGGCTGCATCGTTTGTTTTGCAGGTTTTATGGCTTTCCAAGCTCCTCTCGGGGAGGATGAAGCTGAGTGGCTGCCCCGCGGTGTTAGTTGTATTCAGGGAGGGGGTCCCCACTTTTTGAAAAGCTGCTGTTAGAAACTATTAGAGCTGAGAGCTCACTGTACTTGAATGAAAACAAACAGCAGAGTAAAGCTGTAAGAAAGCAGTGGTCCAGGACCACTGAGGGAGCCAGTGCTGAGCCACTTTGGTTGCCTGAATGTGCAACTGGCCAGCCCTTATCATGCGACCCCATCTGCCTGCAATGAGGGCCAAGTTATTTGTACCAAACAGCACCACTGTTGCCGTGGGCCTGGGGAACTTCTGGAAGTCCTTTAATTATCTCCAAGGCTACCCTACATTTCACAGGCCCGGGTCCTGCTCTGGTAGCCCCCAAATATCAATTCCAGACTTGTTTGGTCCCACCGGGTGGTCAGCAACTGGCTAAATTGCAAATCAACCCCTGCACGCCTGGCAGACCCAGAACAGGACTGCAGAGAGCACAGGGCCGAGTGAGACTGCAGCTCATGAGGTCCATTGGTTCCAAACTCTGTGCAGGAGTCAGGACTCATCTTCCAGACTGCAAACTCCTCTGCCTCCATAAAATGCTTAAACTGTAGAGTTAAGTGCATCTCCCTTAACTAACATGGGCACCACAGAGCACTGATTACCCCAAACTGGCTAATTTTTCAAGCAGGGCAATTATTGATCCCTGGAGAGGCGTGCTTTGCATCTCATTTTTAATCACTTTTTGTTCTGCGTAAAAAGAGGCAAGAAGCGGGGGATTGATGCTGGGAATGATGCTGGGAAGAGTCTGATCCCTCTGCCTGACACTCAGGAAACTTTTTTCCATCCTAGTAGAAGTTAAAGCCTGGGAAACAGCACTGTGTTAATGGCAACAAAGACAAATTGACTCCATACCTCAGCTATAAAGAGAAAATGCTATGTTTCTCTGTCCTCTCAACTGCTTAAAGACTGTATCATCTGATACCTATTTGCCCCACATAGGATTTGGAAGAGAGGGGCACCACTTTCTGCCACTAACCCCAAATAACCCAAACCCCTTGCCACTTGTAGACTGTGCTTGGCTGCTCCAAGGGTCACAAAAAAGCTAGACTTTTATTAAATACTCACCAGGTAATACACAGAAAGGACTATGTCCAGAGCCAACCCCTCAAATTGCTTTTTCTGTCCCCTGGAGTGACTTATGCAACAGCCATTCCCCTCAGAAATTACAGAAACCTCTTCTCTGTCCCGAGTGAAACTTGAAATCCCAGAAGTACAGCAAGTCTCTCCACTCCTTGCTCCATCTTTAGGTTTCTTCCACCAGTTTAGTGAGGATTTCTGCTCCCTCTGAGGTAATCACCAGGGTATGCTCAAATTGTGCCGATCTGAAATTCACATTTAGCAGTTTGAGGGGGAAAACACATTCACCATGCCTGGAAACTCATCTGTTTGGGTTTTTTGGGCTGTCAGTGATGAGTTCCATGTCTTAGGAAATCCAAAAAATAAAATCAGGCACCTTTTATTGTCTACAGAAATTGCAGTCCATTTGTCCTCCAGAATCTTAAATTCAGGGGATCCTTCCATTATTATTGGCTCTGCAGCAAGAAAAACAAAATGCATTCTAAAGTTAGTTGCAGTCCTGTGTGGATTGTGAAAAAATCAAGAACAGGGGGCTATCTCAGCAGGTAGCTACCCTTCCACACAGGTCCCATCTCCCTGGGCTGGCATTCTCTTGACACACTAAAATGTGAGTTAAAAAGGAAGACAAAATAGCAAGGTAGGAAGTTGCCCAGTCCTCTTTTGTAAAAGCATGGAATTTTAATCAAGCTTTAATTAAGACCGTGTGGATAATAACCAAAGCACCAACCACATTTATAAACAACAGATAGCTTAAAATATTTGATTTTTCTTAACAGGCGTAAAATGTTCATTAAATCAGCAAAACAACAATTTTCTTATTTCCTTCTAATTGCCATGCCATTTAGCCACACAGTGAGAACGAAGGCTTTTCCCCCAGCAGTTCTCCACGACTGGAAGTGAGCACGATCAGTCTGCGGGGCGAGGCTCCGGCTGGTTACTGCCGCCGTAGTCCCCAAACCCAACAGCAGCTCTGGAAGGCGGTGAATGACTAAGTGCCACCAGGCTGCTCGGCTTTGTGGACACGATCGCATCCTTCTCACTCTCCTCAAATCAAGTGTTCTGGCAGAGTCTCTGCCTTGCCAAAAACGGGAGTCAAATATTAGCAAAATTTATAATTAACATTTCATTATTTAAATCTTGTAATTTGAAAATAATTTCATCCAAATAGTTTCTAATGCATATTTAAAATGATATTTTAATCTATTTCCTAAGAAGTCAATCTCACTGACGTCCCCCTGTCTGCACGGTGATTTCTATATCCCAATAAAGAAATGTTACAGATCTGGACTGCTCCGTGTGTGCTTTTTAACAGAAAACCATAGCAGAGAGTTACTAACCTATTGTGAACGCCATTCCCTCTTCCATTAACAAATCACTGTCATTGGCTACAAAAGAAAAAAAAAAAAAAACCGCGTTTATGCATTTTGGGCTTTTTTTTTTTTTTTTTTTTTTTTTTTTAAGAGAACGCAACCAAGCCCTTTGTTTAAACCCATTTTTAGCTCGCAGGTACTGTGCATCCGAGCCCCGTTATGAGCCGGAGCACCCGCCGAAAGCGATCCCACTCCGGCCGCAGCGAGACCACCCCGACGGCGGCTCCGTTCAGGCCGGGAGCTTTAACAAACGTTTTAGCGCAGATTTTTCTTTGCCCCGTGACAAACTTTGGCGGCGCGGTTCGGGCGCGGCGGGATGCGGAGGCCGGGGCACGGCGGCTGCCGCCCGGAGCGGGAGGGGAGGCAGTGCGCGGCGCTCAGCGGCCCCGGCAACTCCGCTGCCGAGCGACTTGTCCTCGTAAATACCCACGCGAGCCTCAGAGAAAGAGCCCGGGGATGCCCTCCAGATTTCCAGCGACTGACTCTCCCCACCGGCAATCCCCCGCCCCGCCGGGCCGGCAGCGTGCGTAGGGGTGTGTGTGGGTGCGTGTGGGGCTCTGCTGGCTTTACCGCCCTCCCTCTCCCCTCCCGGAGCCCTCTCATCGCCCGGGGGGAGCGGAGCGGAGCGGCGCGGGGGAGGACGGGCCCGGAGGGCGGGGGGCACTTACCATGGTGCCACACCTCGGGGTGCCCGTGAAAGTACGACCCGATGCCGTGGCCGACGAAGAAGGGGCAGACCTGGAAGCCACCTTGCCGTGCCAAGGAGCTGCAGGGGCAAAGAGGAGCTGTCAGGGTGCGTGCCCCCACCACCAACCCCGCTAGACGGCCCCAGCCCCTGCTACCGCGTTGCTAGCGACACTGGATCACCACTTTGCCACCGTTCCGAAAGACAGCCATTGAAGCGAGCATGGCTGAGCCATTGTTAGGTTTCAGAGTGAACATGCCCGCCAACAGAGGCTGGTAGTTCCCGTGCCAGCCCTGCTAAGTAAAACGGCAGTGTGTTGTCTCCCTGCTTGATGGAGGGTAACCTTTTCCACTAGCACACTGAGAACTTATTTTAAGATGGCGCAGCCGAAGTTGCCAAGTCGGGCAGCCAAGGCCCCAGCACAGTACCAATCGCAGCCTCTGCCGAGTTCTCTGTAAGTGCAGACTCTGTGCTGGGCTGCATACCCAGGGGGCTGCACTGGGTTTCCTGCAGGAGAAGAGGGTCCTGCTGCCAACAGGGAGAGTTAAGAGCCCTACTACTTTGCCTTCATAATACTTCAAACATTTAGTATAAAAACGTATTGAAAGTTCAGCAAATATATGTATGCTAAATAAAAACATATTTCTAATGAATCTGTTGCCAGAGAGGCAAAACCAAATCATAACAATTACAGTATTTCAGGTCTGCCTGAGAGATCTGCCCTGCTTTTTATGGCTGCCTCAGGGAGAAGCATCTCTGAGAACTGCCTGCAGGACCATGGCTGAGCACGGATCCCTACCCATGGTAGGAAAGCAAATTCCTATCCCAAAACCGGAGGACCTGGAGATACATGGGGTATTCTCTGGCTGCTGGCCCACCCCATATCTGCAGGCTTCATTTTCAGGGTCTTCCTCTACTTAAGCAGTGATCGAAGCAGTGGTGGACACAGTGATTTGAGCAGCTCAGCCAGGAGGCCTGCCCATATCCAAACCAGAAAAAAACAGAGATTCACAAAGTTCCGGAGATGGATTAGAAGTGACAAGAAAGTTACCCCTGTCCCTGCATATTACCCCCATCCTAGTTCTAAAATCAATCAGGAGCTAGACAGGAACCCACATAGCCTGAAGAGATTTTGCCTTACATTAAAAGCTTAATTTGCACCTTTGAATGAAGATAGGCACTGAAGAACTTCAGGTTTATCTGTATTTACATCTTAGGAAATGAGGAAATGCTCTCTCACAGTTTCACTACAGGTGGAAAGCTGAAAAAGTTAGAAAACTCAACTAAAAGTAAAGCTGTTGCAGAAATTAAAGCCTGTTAATCCCCATGGGGTAGCTTTCATTCAGGTGCAAAGTGGCCTCAGCTTGCTGTACAAAGTAATCACCTTTGCACACCAGGCTCCACAGACTCTGCAGTGCTGGCTCCAGTGCCCATGGGTCATCGTCCCAGAATTTAATGCCACTCAATTGGGGGACATGCTGCTCCATCACAGTTAAATGGCAATGAGAGAGTAGAGTTGGTTAAAGCTGCAGTGTTCAGACCTTAGAACATGTTTTAACAGGATTCATATATTAACTTTTACCTTTTTATTGCTCTGATAAAAAGAATCATGACATTTCTTCATTAACTCTGGAGAAGAATAGAAATTTCAGGTTTAGCTACCCCCAAACTCTAAAGTACTGGCAAAGAGGATTACCAATAAAGCTAGAAATTGGGGCTTAATTTGTTTGCACTCGAAGTCCAGGCTTTATAAATAATTTATATATTCATAAACTTTATACATCAATTATTTTGAAAAAAAATCATGACAGATTATGCAATGAGAGGTCCTAATAGAGATGGAAAATACTTTCTCCCCTGCCTTTCTATCATGTTCCCCATATCTGGATCAGAGACTTGGCCTGCTGGCTATAATGCCGCTGAAGGTCAAGCAAGAAGTACAGGGAATGGTGATGAGTTAGAAAGCCAGATTCCTCAGAAACAAAATCCAAAATCTCCAGTGATCAAGCCCAGAGCAATGAAGATGACGATTCCTACATGAGTGAAGTGATTCTCTGAAGAGAGGTGGGAGAAGCCATTCATGCAACACGTGATAAGGTTTTCTTTCATCTTCTTCTGCCAGTCTTTCCGCAAAATCTTAAACAATCACACTAACTGTTCAGCTTTGCTGATGTCCTTACATGGCATCCCTGACCACTGACAATTTTTGTATTACTACAGGATTTTTTCTTCCAGAGAAATCAGTGCTCTATACCAAAACAGAAATAGTTTCTCTCTGTGCATAAATTCTTTTGAGCACCATGGCTACATACTTTCCAGCGTGCAGGGGAAGCTCCAGCCTCAGCATTCAGCTGCTGCCAAGGAGGGTGGCATAAGCAGCAGGAGCTGTGCGTTGGGCACCAAGTGCACAAGCACGGGGGCACACAGAAGGCAGTGTTACAACAGTACCCTGTCCTCATGCAAAGAAATGGTTCATGAGCATCTCAAGGGCGAATTCTACCACTTTCTTGCCAAACAGCTTGAAAACAACTCTGTTAGCATCAGTACTTTGGTGGTTACTGTCTGTGATCAAAAGAGGGGATTCTGGAGCTCACAGGGCTTTGACATCTACCATGACAAACAAACACAGTGCTCCTCTTTCTTCCCTCTGTTTACATACAGAGCCTTGGTATTCTCCATATAAAATGCAACACGGTCAACAGACCTGAAGTGACACACAGAAAATAAGCTGCAGGTATGGAATTCAGCCATTTTCAACCTGGTTTTAGTATTTGCATGCACTTCAGAAGGTCCTATGAGGCGTTTCCCTCCACAACTACTAGTTTTACTTTGGAGTATTTAATAAATCCTAGTGAGCTCTTACATCCTTGTGGAGTTACAGTAAAACATGCAGCCCTCATAACAAAATGAAGCTGCTAATCCTAGCTACAACTTGCAAAGGTAATCCTGTAAATGTACATGTTGGCTGTAACTTTGAGACAGCTCTGAGAAGAGTGAATTAAACTTACGGTCTTGGTTAGCCCCTCCAGTCTCCAGGATTCCCAAGCTGTGGAATCTGATTAAAAAATCAAGATGCCAGGGAGTGGAGCATTTTTGCACACATTTATCATTTGTTGCTGACAACAGCTCAACATTTTGGTCTCACTGTCTCACTGCCCAGCTCGGGACCTGTCAGTGGTGGCCTTTCTTTGCAGCTTTCCCATAAGACAATCTTACAAGACTGCAGCCCCAACTTGCAGACAGGCAGAGTAAGCTAAGACAGCTCGAGGAGCCCTGACTGCAAGTGGGAAAGCAGTGAAAGCAGGAGGCAGAAGTTGGCATGGCTGAACTGGGCTGCCTGGCATCTGCTGTGGGAAAGGATGTGCCAGTCTGCCAGTTCCCCTTGGATGGGGTACATCCCAGCAAATAATTTTCAGAGCAAATTCTGGGGCAGCAGAGGTACACCTCACAAGACAGCATCAAGAGAAAAAGAAGGTTCTTCAGAGTGATCACTGTTAAAAATACCCATTTGCAACATTTATTATCACACATATTGATCTTTGTTGCATATTTGGGCAGAGGTGAATTGGGCAGGATTAAAAGCATAATTATTTAGTGAGCCCAGTACTTGACTTTATGTTTTGCTGCCATGTGTTCTAGCCCAGTGGCTGCAGAGTCAGGAGGAGCTGCAGTGCTGCTTTTCTTTTGCTGATACAAAGCCAGGCCAAGTGTCTGGCATAGGCATGGATTGGCAGTGACCCAGCTGGTAAAGGAACATCACTGAGGGCCAAGCTATCCTCCTGAAGCCACTGTCAGAGCCTGTCGTATGGTGGTGTCACGCTTCAGAGAGTGGAGACAGGAGAGATAGGTGTCAGTTGCTATCTGAGCATCCTCTTCCCATGTTGCCAGACAACAGCTAATTCTCTGAAAGGAGGGATAAGTGTGGAGACATGCATTGCCGTCCTGACAGCAGCCTAACAGGGAAATTGCCACAAAGGAGGAACAGGCAGGACTGACTCTATTCGAAAGCCTTCCCCGATACTCAAGCTTCCCTTCAAAGGAGCTCTTGGGTGATAAATCCCTCCTGTTAAGCTGAGAAGCAGAGAATTTCCTTAGGGAGCTGTCCTGTGCAGATACCCTCTAGGTGCACCTAGAGGAGCATTTTCTTTTTTTTTTTACCAAATTTTGTCACTTTTTCCTCAGGGTAGGTCTGGTCTAGTATTCTTAGCACTCACTGAAGAAAAAAAAAGTAAAACAATCCCATTTTCAGTATTAATAGCTACTGTTTTTCTGGGCTCTGTGGTGGCACAAGGGAAGAAAGAATTTGACTGATTGGACAAGATGGCACAGACTGCTTTACTGCCAAGGATAAGGATCCTGGTGAACCGAGCCTCAGCCAGGGATGCTTCTCCCACAGTGCCAGCTTCTCTTACTAGGGATGAAACCTTATCCAAAACAGTCCTGCAGAGCAGCATGACATGAATGGCTGAAGTTGTTAAACAAATTTGTCTTAACACTTCTTGGCAGTGAATATACTTGAGAAACACTGAAACTGGTAACAGTCCCATGATAATTGTGTTCTTATGTAAGGATCTGATTTTTTTTTTTTTAAATTAGAAGTAATCATGTTTGTCTTAGCTATATTAGTAGCAAAATGGCCACTGAATGGCATACTTGCTTTTTTTTTTAAAGTATTGAAACCAGACTCATCTTAAACTATATTTATTTGTGATTAAAAAACCTGTTTTGAATAGTACCATAGTATCTAATTTGAGAAATTACAGAATTCTACAGGGAAAATATTTAACTGTTTTTTTTTTTTTTTCTGAAATAGCAATCCTAGACTGAGGGAATGCACAAGTTCAGGGATTCCCTATAATGACAATAAACGTTGAGGTATAATTAGTAATATTTTTGAAAGCCAACAATTGTTTTTTGAAAGAAAGGTACATTTTAGCTTCAAACTGGAACACAAATTACTGTATTTTTCTTACAATAGTGCTGAACTTTTATTTGAGGTTCTCTGTTTCTGAAAGCAGACATGATGGATTGAAATAAAAGATAATTTATTGCAATGCTTACTTTCAAGTGCAGAGAGAAGCAGTGTAATTGTAATTTACAGTAGCTGTCAAGGAAAATCTATCACAGATGACATTAAAATGACTTATTTTGCCTGAGCCACTTATTGTTTAAATGTGCATAATCTGATAGAAACAGTTTTTAAAAAAAATCTGCTTTATATTGTTCTAAATTAATATCAAAACATATACTTACTAGTTAAACATTTTAAACCATTTATTAATACTTTCATCACTACTATTTTTTTGGTAGGAGTTCAAATTTGGTTTATTTAACGACATCACCTTTAAGTTCTTTAGCTCTCTACATTCCTAACACTTTCATGCACTTAGATTCACTGTCTAAAAAAGCAGATTTAAACTAGATACATTTTTGTCTGAAAATGTTGGAAATGGTAGAAGAAAATGGACAATAGGGACCAATTCCAATTACACTGGAACTGACCAATAGTTTTGATATGCCTTCCAGCAGAAAGAGATGAGCAAAGACCCAAATTTTTCTAAGTAAAGTAACTCACGAATCCATGCAATCTTTTATTTGCGACTTGTAGCCGATGGAAGAATGAACTGCTATCAATGAAATACTCAGTGTCAGCTATTGAGCTTCCACAACAAAGACTATGTTAGAATATTGACTGCAAACTTACTCCAAGATATAATTGTTCTGATACCTACTGTAGAAAGGAAATAGTCTCATAATTTGTGCATAAGATACATTCTGGAAATGACTGAAGCACCTTTACAGAAAAACTGATGACAGAAACATAGATGAATTTCCATTCTGATGGACTTAAATGTTTTCATCTTGTAGGTACTTGTTCTCAGGCATTTATAATATCTAACTCTTGTGAAATTTGAGATTTTGATATATATATATATTTGTATTATATGTCTGTCTGTAAACCAATGTCAAATGACAAATAAGCTGAAACACACAGCTTCACCAAGCCAAGGTGAGCCTTCAGCAGAGGGAGTGTTAAAGTAGTTCTAAACAAATCAGCACATTTAAATCATCAACACGATAAAATCTTGAGAAATAAAGTTAATGACCTGCTATTTCATATGCAGTTTTGAATAGCTACTAGCTTCAATTAATCTGCTTTGCAAAGGGGACACTAACTATATATTTACATTTTGCAAGGAAACTGACCTCTGTAACAACACAGCAAAAATCCAATGTCACATTCATCTCTGTTCTTTTTCTTCTTCTTCCTTTTTTTTTTTTTTTTTTTAAAAACAGCTAGAATTAATGTAGTGAATCTGTAATGAAATGCATTATCCTGCATGGAGATTTATCAGATTTTCCAACTGAATGCCATGCTTTGCTAGCACTAGCTGGAGTTCACCTGCATGTTGGTGTGGCGTGTGGCTCTTTTTTGTAAAGAGTTAAGTTGAACACAAAAAAAGGGAACAAAGGTCAGCACCCAGCCGCCACTTGAATGTGAGATTTTTCTTTTTATTCCCCTTGATGTATACTAGGCTCTGTGTTATTAGTCTTAATGATGGAAAATTGTAGTGTTGATACAAATCTTTTTTTCAAAGTAGTAGGCGGGAGCTCCATTTGTTAGTAAGTTTTTTTGTGACTAAAAGCCATGGACAGTACATTTATGTAGCAGTAAAAGGCCTAGATGCTCTTTCCATAGCAGAGCTAATTATTCCTACTGTGACCTTACTGATCTACCCTGTTCCTAGTACATCTCATCTGCACGCCTGTTCCTCTGTGTAGATGGTGTCAGAGAATATGAAAAACCCTATAATGAAACCATTTTCATGATGGAGAAAGGCTACTGGAGTTGCACTTGCTACAAAGAGGCTCAATTATATGAGTAATTGTGATAATTTTCTACATTCATAGCCTTCAATGGGGAAAAAAGAATGAGAGCCACAAAAGAAAATTACTTTAACAAGAAAGTACAGAGAGTAAAAATGGAAGAAGAGACAAAAAGGGGGAAAAAATAACCAGAAAAAAAAAGTTTAAAAAATAGATCTGGAGGGAGGAATAGCAAGACAGGGAGAACAACAGAAATGCTCAAAAAGCCTATGTGCAGCTGTGTTGCACAATTAAATTGAATTTTTTTTCTGCAGTTGATGAATGTGACTACTGCAAATGTGCCTCTGTAGTTAGCTATCATTTGTTGTTCCGTGACAGGAAAAGGATAATTACCTCTCAGAGAGAATCAAAGGCTGACATGCCCTTTAGACACAGCCATGAATGCAGAGCTCGATAGAATGCTTGAATAAGAATCCAGTGTTCTGTGCCCCCTTCTACTCAAGAATAAATTTTGTTAAAATGCAAGAGCACCACCAGTAAATTTGTTGAACCCTAGGTGTTCAAAAATATGAGGTGCATCTATCGACTCATCCCATTTGCAAAAATAAAACTACATTTTGAATTCACTTCTATTATATTCATGGACAGTAAGATAGTGAGATATGCATTAAATTTCTTTTCCCAGTAGGGGTCTGATTCAACATTTCCTATGAAAGAACAGAAAGACACTATCCTTTTTCTCCAGGCTAGTTAGCCTATAATTTAAAACTGTCAAAAACACAATTTTATACAAAGTCTTCAATAAAAGCTTCTCAGATATAACCCAAAGAGGTTTTACTAAAGTTTGATTCAGACTCTGTTACAATATTTTTAAAGCTATAAATACATCTAACTGATATTTTGCCGTTCTCTTTTTTTCTTAAAGTATTTGAAGATTTACAAAGAAAAAAAAAGGCAGCATCCTTTCAAGGTGACTAAGCCTTGCAGCTTTTAAGTAATCAGAATGAATTCAATAGCTTGTTGGGACCATTAGCAGTCCGAAGAAGTATTGCTTAATGAAATGTATATGATATATGTCTATTTCTTTCTTTTGGCAAACATTTTAAAATAATCCATAGGTACCTTCAAAATCTAAGACACATTTTTATTTAAAGCCATCAGCAGAAGAGTCACGACTGCATTTATGTGAAGGCTAGAAGAGATGCAAAATAAGGAAAAATCTCTGAATGTCAGCTCTTTCTTCCCTATGACGTTAGCAGGCACTGCTCTTTGTAAGATCAGAAGCTCTTGAGTTAAATATTTTCATAGTTTTTAAACAAAGAGCTTATTTATGTTGACTAATTCCCTTGTAACATTCAATGAAAACAATGGTTTCTGTCTTACACCGTTAGACAGATGTGGTGTAGTGTCACACACAAATAAAAAATAAACAAAAGCCCACAGCAAATTACATCTGTTAATTTAAATCTACTTTATGAATATATTTGTATTTTTCTACAGTTATCTTTGCTGACCCTAGTGTAATTCACTTAAAAAAAATACCTCTTACCCAAGGAACAACATTATAGCTTGGCAGTTCACATACTGATATCAGACTGAAATGATGGTTTTGAATCATAAAACATGTCATCAGCTTTATACCAAACCACCAATAACCTTTGTCCCATTTGCCAGCCCTCCTTTTACTTGTCAATATAAGGCTTACCTGATCGTGTTTCCAATTACAGAGAAGGGAGCCCCTGGTCTGCAAGCTGCAATTGCTTCATCTCTACATTTCCTGGCAACCTCCACTAACTTTTCACCAGATTTATCCACATTGCCCACCAAAAAGGTTTCAGAAGTGTCACCATGGTAGCCATTGTAATACACCTAAACATATACAGAAATGCAAAGACATTTTATCATTTTGCATCCAGAGACAAATAATTGTCTTAATTAAATCCATTATTTCTAGGAACAAGTTATATATTGCAACAGATAGACAGGTAAGTCATATTTGCAAGACTGGAAAAGCAAAACATATCAGAGAAAAAAAAAAAAAAAAGAAGCTTGAAAGACTGCAAGGTGCCTAAGGGTTGCCAATGTTGCCAATTAAAAATTCAAGAAAAGCAGAAGCTGTGCATCAGTGCCCAGCAGTGCACCAGGCAGTGACACTGCTCAGCCACAGGACATGAGGATAACTGGGCTGCTTGGGAGAAGGTGGGTGGGGGTCGTGGTTGGGCTGAGGTGGGCCTTGGGGGCTGTTGGGTGCCCACCCATCCTGGCTCTGCCCTGGCAGCCAGGGACTGAGGCAGAACCCGCTGGTGGCTGGCAGGGAGGTGAATGCCTGCGGTCAGCAACCCCCGTGGGAGCTCTGAGCTGAGAGCCAGACCCTGCTACCAACAGCCAGAGTGAACCCCATGGACCAAATCCACTGTCAGCTCTTGCAGGTTTTCTTTCATCTCATTTTTAAGCTACAATGTGGCATTAACATTAGATTTTACTTCTGATTTACAGAGATGAATTTTGAGAGAATAAATGTACTGCTGTGGCACTGAAAAATTTCATGTCCTAAAAACTGAATATGCTGTTGAATTAATTACCTTTTTTTCCTTTTCTTTTTGAAATTTCATAGGTTTTAAATGTTAGCCCTCCTGAAATTCTCTGTTGAGCACAAGAAATCCTGGCTATGCACTATGGAGTTCTGCAACACACCATTAAAATGGGGTTTGCAGCTCTGCACATGGCAGGCAGGCCCATAATTAATTGTAAGACCAAGGGATATTTCCTTACAAAAAGACAAATTATAATGGTGAACAGTTTTGATCTTCTAAAACATTTTTTCTCTCCCAAACAGTGGGCAACTATCCTTCTACAACTAATTACTCAGAGCTTGAACCACTGAACTTTTGCCACTGGCAAACTATTTGTGACAGACTCACATTCTTGTTGGTTGATTCCAAACTAAAAAAAAAAACCCATAACCCCAAAAACCCCATTCTACAGACAGTTTATCTCAAGGCCAGGTTTGTCTTCAAGCTGAGATATAAAGAAAATGCAGGCCATTAGGAGCAAAGGGTATTTTAAAGAAAGGTGAGTGCCAGCAAGGGCCCAACTGTGTTGCTACTGCTCTGGCAAAAAGCAGCTGCAACCCTCAGCTCTACACCTTCCTATGCCAGTTCAAACTACCATAAAATAATTTTTTTATTTTTTTATTTAATGACCTTTGGTCAGGTTTTAAAGTAGATAGTTCATATTTAAACTAAACTAGTTAGTTTTTAGCTCTAGCAAGGAAAACACAAAACCCCCCAACATTAAGCATCATCATCCTAGAAGAGCAAACACAGATTTAAAACATAGGAGAGTTAAAAAAACCCCAAACCAAGAAACAACAACAACAACAACAACCAAAAAACCCCAAACAAAACACAAAACCACCAAAAACCCAACAACAAAGCAAATAATAATATTTACTGGAGCCCATCAGCTGCAATTACATACTTCTGATGTTAATAAACTACAACCACAGCAACCATAATATACTATTTCCTTAAAATTCAGTGAAAGAACCAAGTTGTAAGAAACATTAACCTGGTAACAATAGGCTGAAAATTGCACTATGCTGAGGATCCAATAATGCATAACACTATTGTTTGTATACTAAAACACATTTTCAGGTCCATATGTTTCAAGCCTATAAAATTTGTATTTCATCTATGAAATTCTACCGCCTTAATTATGCTAAAATGGATTTTTTTGTTCAGATAATCTGTACATAGTGCTAGGTATTTACACTTAACATCCTGAGTATTATTTAATTACTTTATAGAACCTGTACACAATTATAAACAATTTGTTGTGTCATACGTCTGTTGATTTTTATTCTGTCCAGCTGTGAAATGTCCCAGTTTTTCTCATTAAAAATAAGCTAAGATATCAGTTAATAATGCTGAAAAGTTGTATTTTTTCCTCACTTGTTTTAGACTAAGAAATTATCACACAGCACAGTTCAGTTTTAAATGGTAAAAAAAAAAAAATCTTACAAAGATAGTCAGCAATTCCCATCCTTGCAGAAATCTTCACATGCACAGAAATCTCAAGATTTATTTTATTTTATGAGAGTAAATTAGAAGCAAATAAATATATGTCTGCAAAAAGGCCAGTAACATTTAGTCAGACATTTGTGAAGCAGAGTGGACAAGATATGCACACTATTTTAATATTACAAATATTGCATTTAATTTATCACTGAAAGTATCTGTGACATGAGTCTATACTTTTTAAAAATCTAGGGTATCATTATTATCCTGACAGACTGAACATAAAGTAAAATGAACCTTAAGGAGGTAAAAAGAAATATGATTTAACTCCTTAGTGTTGCAAATGGATTTATTTTAATAAACTGAGCAAAGCGACACCGGTTCACCGAAGTTAAAATGAAGGCCAAAAGTAAAGTCTAAAAATGCTAGATTGCACTGTGTAAACCTGATAGTCAGAATTCTACGATTAGAAAGTATGGAGATGGGAAAGAATTTTAAAAGATCAAAAGCCCAAGCCAAACCAAATCCAGTTCTGGATCACATGTGAGTATATAATGGGAAAAAGGTCGTCGACCCTAATTTTAATAGAAAAAATATTTTAGAAAGCTTGAATCTCATGCTCAGAGGTAGGTCTTCTGAAGATTTCTTCACTCTGCCAGTATGAACATAGTATCAAGTTACCAATAGGTTCTTTAATGATTTAAAAAGCTTGTTTTTACAAGATTCTACTCCCTTGTATGTGACATATTATTGCAAAACAATGGAGAGATTAAAAAAAACCTTCTGTGTCCATACCAGAAATAAACAGCACTTCAGAAAAAATAAAAACATGCACAGCAAAAGCAAAAAAACTTCTGTAAGACAAAATTTTTTTTTTCATAAATGAAATGAGAATTAGGTTTCTAAAGCACAGTTCCTGTGCTTCCTTGCTCCTAGGAAAACCCAGCCTGTGTTTATTTAAATAGCTGTAATTGATGATTCCCTGGAAATATTAAGTCACGGTTATATCAAACTATTTCTGTTTCTGCTCAAAAGGTTCAGGGCTTCTATACCAGAAATGGAACACAACACTACCTTTGGTGATTTTAATAAATGTAGGGAACACTGCTAGCAAAAGAGTTGCTGTCCAAATAGACTGACATACCCAGGCCAATGCAGCCTCTAATGACAGAGTAAGATAATGTCAGGCCCCACTCAAAATCAGCAGGAAGAGGAAGATCAATCTTGGCAGAGTGAAGGAAAAATGCTGGCTTTCTTCATGTTAGCTCATCTCATACATATCTATCTTCAGCTGCTGCCCAGTACTGTGGTGCTCTGCATTAACTACACAGTGGATCAATAACAATTACACCTTCTCAAAAACATGACACATAGCAGGATTGGGTTGACATTTCACTTAGGCCAACATTGATCTCAGTGCATCTGATTCCAGTCCTAAATTCAAGTCAGGCCTGAGTCTAGCTGGAATAAACACACAGTTAAAAACAAAAAAGGAAACCAGCTGCTTGTGCCTTGGCTCAGAAGTAAACAGCACATCCATCTGTGCATCCCCCATCTCCAATCCACTATTCTTCCTGTTGCTACTAGTGATTCTAAAGTTGATCAAAGACTATTTTTTTATATGAATTACTCACCGTGACATCAATGTTGATAATATCTCCATCCTGAAGAGGTCGACTGAAACATAAACAGAAAAAAAAAAAAAAAATGGTGACAGACAGTTCCCAACAAAGGGAATATAAGAATAAACACCTAATGACACATACATAAAAAATCAAGGGGTAGATATTTTGTGATGGAGGAAGGCAGAAGCAAACAGAATAACCATTTTTAATGTTCAGCTCTGACTATTTAGAGAACAAGTGTAGCTGAATATAAAATAATGAGACACAACTACAAGAAAAACATATCAACACCTGAAAAATCTACCATTATATTTATTCTTTTTCTCTCACTAGGGTTCATATTTTACTTTGTGAGTAGCTGAATGTATTGAGAATATAAAAAAAAAATCCCACATAAATTCAAATATATTTATGCCTTAGCCTATACTTATTTTGCTGCATGAACAAAAAATCAGACCGTAACAGTTTTTTTTTTTTCCCTCACACACACTAAATTCAAAATGCAATATGCTATTTTTCTTTAAGTGTCTTGAAAACCAGGATAATATTTTTTTCCTGTTTCACATGTATTTCTGTAACAGCTATCAGCATCACAGGGTAACATGTTCTGCATCTACAACGCATTTAAGTACAACATTTAGTTAAGCTGAAGTATATTCAGTCTTAAATACAAATTATCAATTCCAGTTTAACATTTTAATTTCCAGTTGTAAAATGTACTTTATTGAGGAAATACCTGTCAGGAATACCATGACATACCACGTTGTTTACAGAAGTACAAACAGATTTTGGAAAACCTCCATAGCCCAGAGGTGATGGATAGGCATTCTGTCTGATTATTTCATGATGAACAATGGAATCTATTTCTTCAGTTGTCATGCCAACCTAAAATATCAAACATAACATCCTGTTAAAAAAGCAAAGAGAGTTTCTCTTATTTACTGCATGTGATTGCAGCCAGCTTCAATGAAATATTGGATGTTTCAAATACGCTGCTTTGATACAAAACACTATACTGTCTGATATACTTTATTGATATATGGATTTTTTTTTTCTGAAAAACCCTCCAAAAAGCAGATCTTAAATAAAGCATGCAGTAGAAATAAGCACTCAAAGGTTCCTAGAAAACCTAAAATCCTGTCTACTTCCTTTCTGTTCTTTTTTCCGTATCTACTTTCTCAAAGACACCAATTTCCCATGGCATCCTTTCAGTAGCTGCTATAGAAATGTCTTGTTTCAATGCATTCAGTCCCTTAAAACACAACATTACTTTCCCCTTCTATTTGTAAAAGAAAGGATATTAAGTCTTGTAATTGCCCAGTACATTCATCATAATGTATTTAAGCATTTTAAGAAATTGTTTTCCAGGTATTCCTAAATTTTATAAAACATTGAAATATTTAGATTCAAATTTTAAGGAAATTTTACTTAAAGTTGCCATAGCCTGAATGATCATAATGAATCCACAAGTACTGACTCATTATTTTTAGAAATCTTCATTTTTATGCTTGATGTTTTTTAGATTCATCTTTTCCGTAAGATTTTACATATTAAAAAACCCCTCTCATAAATCAGTCAGCCATTTTCTGGGTTTCCATGGAGTGCAAAATGCACATTCTTAAAATAATATTATTCTTGCTTTTCTTTTTGATCAACTCAGTCTCTGGAATGGTTAGAGCTGAAATTTGGTAGGGAAACCTCTCTAATTGAGAAGTACTTTTGAGGGTTCCTCTGTAAATTGATTTTGCTTTGAATGAGTTCTGAGCCTTTGAAAATCATACTTTGTACAGATACAAGTATCATTCTTAGCACACTGAAGGAAATATCACAGTGGCTGTGATTGTGAAGTAACATGTGGAATACAGGTAGGCTGTGGTGCAGGAGACAGTTATATATTGAAATACTGTGCGGCCATGCACGGCCAATACAGGAGAGTGCACTTGTGTACTGTGCTGAGGATAAAACCACGTCTGTTTACTCAGCTGAATCTTGCTGAGCACAGAAATGTTGTTGGGCAGGTGAGGAGCAATGAATGTGAGTTCAAGACCAGGATTTAGGATTACTGCACATGACCCCTGTTTTGCAACCGCAGCCTTGGCAGGCTGGCTGGATTGGATATGGCAGCCCTTGGCTCTGGATAAATACAGGTTTGTTGCTCCTGCCTCTGCTCAAACATCTTCATCTTTAGCCCACAGACAAACTGAACTGCTACATACCTGACTGGCTGCTGTCTACTACTTCTCTACTCAAGCAATTTGATGTGGTTTTTGGATACTCAGCAGACAGGTCTTTGGTCTCTGCATTGCTTACACTCTGTGCAAAGTTCTGCTTTTAACAGTATGTGCTTTACTTTTAAAGACACTTTTGCTAGCTGGGCAAGTTAGGGGTGGCACCTGCTGTGCCCTTAATCCCTTACTCAGAGCAGGGCAATTCAATGGTATAGAATAAAATATTTTCATGTCATAGAATCTGTGGTTTTATTCCCAAATCTGTAACTGAGACTCAGGAAAGCTATCATATATAATACTGTATCGTAATTTGAAATCCCACAGGCAGTAATGGCAACATCAAAACCACGTTCAAACTCTATCTCTCTGTATCCATGGATTATAATGCACCTTTGTTACATCTGGGGATCTCAACTGCCACTAGCTAAAGCACAGGAAAGAGACAGTTTGGAGGATTGTGTGCAAGGTGGGTTCAGTAAGACAATAGGAACAGGTGGAGGGATGGGACTCCTCAAGTAAAATAGGAATGTAGATTTCAGCTTATGAGACTAGGCTAAAAGATCTTGGTTTGTTCAGTCTGGTGCACAGCTCTATTCCTGCATGAAGGGGAAGACTCAGGGAAAGGCAGGAAGCTGCTTAAATTAAATTAAAGAATAGTGTAGGCACAAGAACAGATGGGTATAAACCAAACACATGCAGCAACAGGCTGGAAAGCAGAAGATTCTAACTGTCAATAAGGGAGGGTTTTGGAGCATCCTTCCAGTCAGTGGAGTCTTGAACAAACACTTAATTGTGTAAAACAGAGCTCAACACCAGCCTGTGACTGACCTGTGTTGTGGTTTTAGCATTGCAACTCCAAATACCAGCTCTCTCCTAGTTCACAGGCCCTGTTTGTGTAATTATTACCTTATACACCTTTTTGCTCCAATATATTCATTACGCATGTGTAGTATTTTTCTTTATGTATGATTTGGCACATATTATGAGCTGCATCATAAACTACACCATACTGCATACGTGTCTATTTACACATGATAACAACCAAAGAGTATTTGTGGAAAACTGCTCTCATTTGAAACCCACATTGCACCCTGATCCTTTGGAAACATGTATATGCCTTTAACTTTAAATGAGTAAGTTTTATTTTACTGAAAAACAATTGAACATTAAAAAGTTAAACATGCACAACGGTATGTAAGATTAAAGCTTCAGGCAATTTTGTTATATGCCATCCCAGCTTCAGAACTGTACCTTTGTGAAAGAGTGATGATAGCTGAAAGAAAAATCCCCTTTTAAGTCAATGGCATTGACCTACAGTCCCCATCTATCTCTGCATCTCATAGCTACTCAACCCATTTCACCTTATCCAATATGCTATTACATGAAATACCAAGGCAAGGCTAAAAAAGCATTTCCTCATCTGCAAAACCTGGTAGTAGGCTCCTCCCTCTACGTTTTTTCTTGGGAGATAGCCTATAAAGCATAGTGTAGGAACATTTCTGGAAATCGGGAGGCTTTACTATCAATGCACTCTGGAAAATTGTGTAGAATTTGGCGGCTGTTTTTTCCAGTGGGAGCTCTACGAGTTACATTGGATCCCACAGGACAGTGAGGGCTGAAGGATGGATGGGAATGGAGAGGGCAGACCAAGTGTGGGCTTGTACACATGCAGAGCTGGAAAGCAAGACATATGAGGTAGATGGGCCATGAAATGAAAGGAAAAAGTGTAGCATGTGCCTTAAGAGAAACTCACATGATTTGACACAATCTCAAGAGAGGGAGATTACAAACACAGAGATATTACACCTGAACCAGTAACTATACTTTACACAGGTCCAAAGTACAGAAGTAATTATGCAGGCATATCATTAACTGAAACAAAAGTTAATAGATCCTTGTTTTTACAGGATCAGACTTAAAGCTGGATGCACATAATAGGAAAGATAAAAGAACAAAAAAGTAGAAACAAAACCCAAATAAGTGAAAGCACAAGAAATACCCAAGCTGTTGTTGGACTTCTGTAATTGTTACCTTTAAGCCCTTTCCAGCCAGAAGCAGGACATGACGGGCCAACTGACAAGCTTGACGAAGCCCTTGAATCTGATCTTCATTCTTAATTTCTATGTCGTCTCCCCAGTCTGGTACAATGCCTGTCGTCACATAGTCTGGTTTCTTTATGTGCTTGGAGAAAAAGGATTGAAAATGAAGATCAGAAAACTGAGCATGACAATGGGATCATTTTCTCAGATACTGCCTCCTGCTTCATGGCAGTTTGCCCTTTCTGTCGTAGTATCGACCTTCCTAAGCCATCAGGGCAAACCCTCAAGGCTGCCTCAGTATTTCTTCCACTGCCCTTTTGAACTTAACATTGCCTGTTACTACTGACTTACACAGTCTGTTAGCCTTCCAGTGCTGAAACCCCAGATACTGCAGCTGACTTCCAGCACAGACCGTCTCAAGTTAAGAAACTACGAGAAAGACTTTAAAACTCTTAATTTTCTTTTTCAAAGAGGGGCATTTTCTATAAAAGGCATCTAATCGCTGGAAGTGATGGGACAAACATACAGAATTAGTCTCAAAATTAAACCTGATCAAATTCTGTGTTTCTCATTCAGACAAAGCTATTGAAAAATCCATGAGATTGCTTTTTGACTAACCTTAGGATTTAACTGATTTTAATTTAGAGGCTTTTACACATTAATCTAGTTCGTATGCTGTGTCTAAATTTGTCCATCTACATTACACAAAGGTATCCCAATTTGCTATGTCAAGGGAAGTGTAATAAACCTAATTTTTTCGACACAAGAACTTCTCAGCCCTTGTATGAAGTGAAATTTAATATCTGATTTTTTTAAATCCACAATAAATTAACAACATTTATAAACATGAAAGCTAATAAGAACAGTAATATCTTGCACAGAGTTGGAAATGCACTTTCTCTCAAAGGGTCCTGGGCTGTTTCACTGGCTGTGGAAGAATCCCTTTGCCCATGACAGCCAGGCTGATTTTCTGTCATGCTGGCCACAGGGTGAGTTTTGCACTGACTTCACAAAATACAGAGTCAAGCTGGCAGGCAGAAGACAAAGTAGGCATCTTGGCTGTACACAAAACAACCATGCAACAACAGGGTGTAGGAGTAACAAAGACTAGAGCAATAGACGAACTCTATTGGGACTTTAAATAGGAAGCCTACTGTTACTGTTACAGGTATTTTATGTCTAATCTGATAAAAACGATGAAATTCTCTTCAGAAAACTTATGTCAACAGAATTTCAGATCCCATTTCTTTAAAATTAATGCCATAACAACCGTAACAACATCCTATTGCAGTAGTTTGGGCCTTAGTAAAAAAAAAACCCAACCAAAGCAATGCCATTTGTTAGATTAGCAACTCCATACACAGCATCACCCTCGCTTTCCCCTTGGAGGGCACTTACCTATTAACTGAGACATGATCCTTCTGACCTCTAAGAACTGTGAAGGGAGAAGCCCAAAGCAGAGTACATACAAATCTCCACGTGGACAGTTTCACACCAACATCTTAAAAACCACTGTTATTTCAATGTGATTTCTGCCATGCTCTGAATAAAAGTAAAAACTCTGCCCTTAACTTTTCAGAGTTCATAGATGTGGACTGATTTTTAGGTGTCTGAAAACTCTGATCTGGGAAGACAACTTTTCATTATGACAATATATTTCTTCCTCTTTATTCTAAAAGAGGCATCTAAATACAGAAATAAAGTTTTTAAATTATATGATTTTAAGTTTTTGAAAATATTTAGAGCATGTGACCCTATGTTCTCCCTGCACACAGAACTTCCACAGCCTCTTAGGGCTAAGAGCCCTACTTCCATCATTCTTATCTGTTTTCCTATCTAAAACATTTTAGTATATCTGGCCCATGGAAATGCCCTATATTTGGCATAAGAAATCTATATTAAAATGCAAAACAAAACTGTAAAAACTACTAATGCACATCCTGTGAAGCACTGTTTAGAAAGGGTACTTTCATTTCTTTTGGCTAAAGGAAAGATACTAAACAGTTAATCTGTATGCTGTAATTAAAGAGGGGAAAAAAAGAAAAGGAAAAAAAGGAAACAAGAAATGGAACACATGTTAAATTTGCATTTGCATCAAAAGTCCCTTTTGGCTTTAAAGTAAATAAAACCAAAAATATATCTTGCAAGGAATACGAACACTCAGGCACAAAAAAGACAAGTTTAAAACATGCAGCAGGGCTGTGGGACAGCTACCAGCAGGTATTGTATGTTCTCTTTCTGACATAACCAAATAATAAAACCATCAGCAAAATATAAGCATTTTTATAATTAGCTTGCTAGAGATTTATACAGAAGGGGACTCAGATGATCATGAATGATTCCTACTGACTTCTGCTAAGACAATCTACCATTGCTCCAAACAAGGATCTGGACCCAGAGTTGCTGACAGATGATTATAATAGTCACATTTATTCTACTATAACTAAACAAGCCCCAGGTTTGAACTCCCTCATAACTAAATACATCACTGTGTTTAACATGGAAGACAGCTGGCCATCAGCTCTCCTATTTCAAATACCAGACCAAGCAACAGGACAGTGATCCACCCCCAGCTGTTGGACAACAAACACATTTGATCATGACTGCAATCAAACTCTACACTGGCTGAAAAACAGATTAGGTAACAGAAATTGCAGTACCTTAGGAACTTGGTGAGCTGGAGAAACCATGGCTGGCCAAACTATACTATAAGCAGCATTCCTTTGTCCTTGAAAGAAGAAGCATCTTTGCTGATGATTGCTTAAGTGCCTTTGCAGGTAGTTATGATTACACAAAGAAAAGATTATGTGGCAGCCAGTCACAGAACCTGTTAACAGATAAATTTAAAAATATTAACATTTTTTTCCTACTTCCACATTACAAAATGGAAAGTATGCAAAAAGAAGGGCATAATGTAAAGCAAAACACAGGACTCATGTAGTTGCTGAGGATAATTCAAATCTTGTACTGTTTAAGAAAGAGCAGAAAGAATGAGAAGAAATGGGAACAAAAATACTTCCCAAACAATACTTGAAGCTTTATAAAATATCAAATCTGTTTTGGTTTGATACAATAAAAAGCAGTGTGGGTAAATTCCCCACCATTTACAGACAGGAGTGATGCTCTAACTGGCCTCTGCTTGGAACAATTTGCATGGCTGCACTGTTCAAGGCTTGGCAAAGCAGTTAATAAGACACAATAGCAAGAAAAGAGAAGACAAAAAAAAAGAATATTTAATGTTACTTCATACAATATTTTCAGCTGTATTTTTGCAGAACTGGTCACAGATTTAAGCATAACAAGGGTAATGCTGCCCTTTGTCTTGTTGCTCAAGACAAAGAATAGTTCATTTTGTTCAGGGGGCAACAGAGGAAACTTCAGGAGATATTTTTAATCTTGGTTAGAAGTAATTGAAAATATTAAAAGTTTATTTGGAGTATTTGAATCAGATTTCCATTTAATTCACATGGGAATTTGGGATGAAAGTTTCATAGCTCAAACTTAGTTGTTGGGCAATGACACATTTTGCCCCTGCAAAAATGGAAAAAAGGAAAAAAAATTAAAAGGGGAAAAAAAGGAAAAGAAAGGAAAATTGAGGCCCAAAGGCTCCCAGAGACATCAAAACCAAAATAATGCACCACAAAAGACAATGCTAGCATCAAAACCAGGAAACCCAAAAGGATTATTGACACTGCCCAATTACATTACAATTACACACAGTGTGTATTTCCACTACTCAAATGTTCTACAATATAAACAGGGTTTTTTTCTGAAATGTAAGTTTAACATAACAGTTGATCTGCTTCTGAAAAATGTCATTATGTATACAAATATAAGAGCAATCTTGTGGCAAGTAATCCAGATGAATAATTATTCTTCAGTAAAAAGATTTTGTTTGAACACTAGCAACTAAACATTTTTATATCACAGAAATAAAAAATTTAATCTACTGCATATTTTGTAACTATGTAAAAATGTTTATTTCCATAAGAGTTACTTTCACATCTTGCCAGTTTTTTATTATGTTGTACCCTCCTTCATTTCCTTTGGATGGTTTGTCATGTTCACATGCCAAAATTATCCTTCCACATATGCAATTTTTCAAAGACAGCCCTTTTACTCCATGACATACAGAAGATTCGAGTTATGCACTGTTTTGGACCCCCAAACCCAGACTGAAATAGTTTCATCAGGTTTGCATTAGAAATGTTTCCGACTATCTCTTTGCACTGGCCAGGGTTACATTTAGGTACCAATATCTGAAAAGTTAAAACTTAGGTGTAGAAACTTTTACTCAAGCCAATTTTTACTGGTTTGGTTGGGGTTTTTTTGGTGGTGGTGGGTTTTTTCTTGTTTGTTTTGGTTTGGTTTTTAGCTTGGTGGGTTTGCTTGTTCGTTTGACTTGTTGATAATAAGAAAGTGAAGCTGAAGGGTGAGGTTCACCTCAAGCTCTCAGAATAGTCTAAATACCCAATGGAAGCTGCCTGCTTCAAAACAGAACAAAGTGTCTCCAAGGAAGTGGAGCTGCCCAGTTAACAGAGGGCTGGATTGATTTCTCAGCCTATTAACTAAAATTTAAACAGCAGACTCATAATCTACCTTCCTATGGTCTCTTTCACAAGAAAAAAAAATCATTGTCCAATTAACAAAAACCACCCAAATATACAAAAAATCCCAGAAGGGGTCACCTAAACTGCAACTGTAAGCACGTCCAAAGAACCCAAAGCATCCTACAAACTCCCTGTCTTGTTTGTACTCATTTCTGGAATTTGGAAGCATAGAATCTGCTGAGGCAGCAACTTTTGGGCCATTAGAAGTAGTAATCACTCTGACAGTGTAAGCCAAGCTGCATCTTTTACAAAGTGCAGTTGAAGCACCTTGCTTTTAGCACAGCTAAAGGTATCGAAAACCCACACTCACTGATGTGGTTGGCTAAAGTCCACATGGACATCAACATCTGACCATGTATTTCAAATGCTCTCCTTGATGGCCAGAATGCTCACCAGGCGTCTTGTCTATTGAGTCACAATTTAATTGGGGAAGACAAGGTGCAAGTGTGCCTGTCAATTATTCCCAATGCTCCCTCAAATACACACTCTTAAATACATTAAACCATATTCACGGGTGCATGCCTATCGACTAGCTTACATTCAGAAGGGATTCTTTTCTAGTCAGAATAAATTTTTTACCTCTATTCTCCCAAAGATACACTGCAAGTGTTGTCACAAAATAACAGGATAATAAGGTACTGAAGCCTGTTGTTATTCTACTAACTACTCATTATAAACCAGATGCATGCAAAACTATCTACTACTTGAACAGATGAAATGAGACAAGCAAATAACTATCACCATTCTAAAATACAATTCCTAAATTATATTACAAGAATTATAAACACAGGACAACTAAACCTTTATTTGAAATATAAAAAATCATAAGAGAAAACATTTTCCTACAAAGTAAAAATAAAATTAAATAAAATGGCATTAAAATACAATGAAGTTACTGGTCTGTAATGAAAATCTGGACTCCATCCACACACTTCCTTCCTTAAGAAGGCCTTCTAATGCCTCCACAGTGCCTTTTATTTTTCAGGCTCCTGTATTCCCAGCTAATTTGATATAGCAACATCATCAATCACCTGAGACAGGAACAACTGTCTGTATTCTCCAAGTCTGGCTCAGAGATTCCCTTCTCCCTACCCCTTACACCCATCAAAGCTTTTCTCAGTGCCTTTATTTACTTCTGCAACACTGGTGCTCAAGCTCATCCTTTTGTTAAGCTTTTTGTGTATACTAATTACTGTAAGACAGTTCATACACATGTCATTTGTGCATCTCCCAGCAGAAACTGCAGCCACTGGAGAGCATGGCATGTGAAGCTGGGTAGGCTGGCAACAGACCAGCACAACCAGGAGACAAGGTTGACCCTTTACGTGTTCATTCTGTACCCCAACAGCAAGGCTGCGTCACCTGCCACAGCAATAGTGTATTTACCATCAGCTGCACTAAGGAGAACCAGCAGCAGCGCTGCCGAATCCCACCAGCAGCTCGGATGCACTGAGCACAGAACACGACTGCCAACTGCTCCTGAGCCGCCAGTGAATCCCACTGTGCCATCCAGGGGCACGCACGTCCTGCTGGAGCCGCTGGATTCCCCTGCACACCTTCCACACCTGCCTCTGCATTCACAGTACACATACGCACTGGGAGCTCTTCTGAATCACCAGATGAATTTATCTTGGGTGAAATTACATTTCTTTGCTTTTAAATGAGTCAGTCAGACTGGCTGAATATGGCATTCAGGAATTATGATGGGTGGGAGCATTTTTAAGTGACTGATTTTGCAGCATAGTGTGCCCTATATTTATTAGCCTTTTACTCTAGGGCTATTTTAATTGTTATCTGTTCATGCATGTTACACTATATAATGAAATGCTCTCATTTCACTCCTAGAGTGGAGAGTTTTTATGTGTATCTCTATTAATGACCCTTAATTAAGTTGATTTTAGTAATTTAAATGTGATTTTCCTCTGGTCAAGAAGTATTTTTAACGGGAAATGTTGAAAATGAACTCTCACATAAGCCCTTTTCTAATGCTTCCTGTTTAACAGTTAGAGCAATTTATCAAGCTATGTTTCCAATGAATGAAGTGTGGGGTATTTGGGCAAAAAACTGCTAATTTACATGATTCATCAAATGTGATTGTTAGCAACATTTTTTTTTTGTATTTATTCATGAAAGATTTCAATTTTCCAAGCAATTAACAAAAATATTACCAATGGATAAACTTCATGACAGTTCTGAGCTACAATAAATACAAGGGTGCATCTTAAAAAGAGACAAGAAATAAATTAACATATTTTAAAATAATTTAGTCCTAGTATCAACAGAAGCAGAGTACCAAAATTACTTGGAATTACAAGAATTAACATTCAAAACTATGTAGGAAATAAAAATCAACTTGCTCTTGATAAGTTACCAATATCAAAAGCATTGTTCTGACAACTCTTTTCAGTTATGTGATTTAATCTTTCTTTTTAAACCGAAAAAAAGGAATGACTGGAGATTTTCTTAATATATATTAATTTGGAGGTAAAACACTAGAGATCTTCCATTTGGCTTGTCAGGTAATTTTAATACTCTAGCATAATTTAGGTTATTGTGCAAAAACTAATTTGAAACTTTTGAGGATTAAAGCTTAAAATGAGGTATTAAAAATCACTAAGGGGAACAATATGTGAAATCCAGCCAATGCAACTAGGTAAGAACACATAACTTCTTACTGCTAATTACCAAATGTTTCCATTTTTCAATCCAAAATAATGGCTGTGGTTTTAAAGATCTTTAGTTGTAATCGTAACTCTAACTGTCTAATAAAACACTGACTTTGTAACCCTCCTGTTGCAAAGGTATGTCCAAGCTTCAAAAATAGGATGGGAAAGATTAAAGGTTCTTTCCAGCTCTGTGTAACCTGTGTAGCAGAAGACCAGCTCACATTTCACATGCAATAACCTGCGCATTTGCTAAAAAAAAAAGAAAAAGAAAGAAAAAAAGGAAAAACCTCCAAGAACAACATAGGGAAATGCCTGAGGCAGAAGTTGAAACTGATTGGGCAAAGTAGAAGGACAAGAGCCCTTGAAATTAAACAAAAGCAAATTCATTCTGTTGACAGATGTTGATTACATCAAAGCCATGAAAGAACATTTTTTTGTTTAGTTTTTTTTTTCCCTTTTTTGCAACTAATACCTCCACATTTTCTGTACATTACGGCTATAACGTATCTTAATCAACATAATCCAACACATGATAATTCTCAAATTTGGTAAAATTATATTATAAGAAGGTCTTAATGACAGGCTTCTCCAAACAAGAGTGTATTCACATGGTCATGTCTGCATACCCGTGCTGGTCACGCCATCATCAGCCCCTTACTTCCAGGGGTTAACTGCTCTGGCAGCCAAATAAAATACAGAGAGCGCTGTGTAATTATGGAGACAGTCAAAGGGCAGACTCTATTTTGAAATCTATTTGCACAGACAAGGTCTTCCAATTTCGCTTACAGGAAACAAGCTGGTAAAGGGGGTCTCCTCCTCTCCAGATGCTTTCCACACGTTTTTCCCACATCAGGAAATCGTGGACATGGACACCATGCAGGACTGTTTCCTGGATTGCAGAACTATGTCATTACAAGGAGAAGAGCAAGTCCGTGCTTGTGAGAAATATTTCCTCCTAATTGGATGTATTAAGGGAAAACAAAACCCGTAAGGACTACTGAAAATGTGACTAGCAGCAATTTGTAAACAGGACGCAGCCACATCTGTCACGATGGTACTGGAAAAGAAAAAGCAGAAATGAAAGGGTAAAAACACTCTGTTTTTAATAGCATGATTGGGGAAATGAAATATTCATCAGGATAGATGTGACTTCAGTTACAGCAGCAACACATTGGTGAAAACTTCAACAACAGCATGCTTATGACCCTACCCTGATAAACCGAAACACAGGCCAGTAGCTTGTAAACATTATATTCTAATTGGAATTGTTTTATTGAATTTTTCTGGAAATTAACACCAGAATTTGTTTAGTTAATAGAGGCATTAACAGAACTCTTCTTGTTACTCTCCTAAGAGGCAATGAAGCTTAGCAATGGTCGAACAGAGACTGACTCCAAGGGAGAAGAGTCAGCCCCTCTGCCAGCATCACCGTGACTCCCCCATGTCACTGAAAAAAAGTCTGTTTCAGCCCTCAGTTATGCTCCTTGCTAACTACAATTCTGCCCTTTCTTCATGCAGAGTGGAATTGGGCAATCTGTTGCCTATATGACAATATAAATGAGTTTGTAAATTTATAAACTACATGGAAACAGATTCTTGTTTTGCTTTACTTACTATGATTTATTCTAGACTAACAGACTAAAATGATGAATCAGTGCCTTCTGGAATAGTGCTGTGCTTCTAATTCATTATTCAGTCAAACTCAGGGCCAACAATATAGCTGTTCTACAAGTTGGTAAACTGGGAAACCACAGAAAATCAGAACCCCTTCTATTTACAGGAAGGATGACAGCCTAAGGGTACTTCGTCCCAATAATAACAACATTCAAGCACCGGTGCCCAGGTCACGACAAGCCATGACCCTCCCAATAGCTCCTTCAGGAAGCTGGCTTGATGCCACCTTTTATCAGCAGCAACTGACAGTGCAACTTTAACAAACAAGAAGAAAAAATTAGTATTGTATCCTTAAAATCTCCTTTGACCAGTTGAGCAGTTACAGAATATATACACACATGGAGTCACAACAAGGCAGTATAAGAAATAAATTAACTGAGTAAAATTCTGGTATCATTAAACAGTACTTCCCCCTTTTATTATAAGACTTAAAAAATACAGCGTACAATCTAACTACAGCTGAGTGATATTCATTACTATATCAAAGGAAATGAATTGTCTGTTACAGAACATGGGATCAAACTGTACAGACACTGGGAACAGAGCATCGCAGTCCTCCAACACAGCCTTCCATCCCACTGTCATTTCTACTACATTTTCTCTATCTGACAGAAAAACGCAAGAAGAAAATAAAAAGACAGTGTTGTCTAAAGCAATATCACTGCAAAATGAGATAAGTCCAGTACAAAAGCTGCACAAAGCAATATTAAGGGTTTCAATCACAGTTACTGTCAAGGGAATTTAGGCTCCAGATAACAGCATCTGGCAAGTTTCAACTTCTCTGACTAGCAGGAGAAACATTCCTCTTATGTTACTGCATTCCTTTATTGAGTAAATTAATTTATCATAAAATGAATAAATTAGAATGAGAAACATATCTGTTCAGGCTTCCATATTTAAATACATTTTCCAAGCACTTCCTATTTATCTTTAGATTTTTAAAAGATCAGAGAAACTACTTTGCTTGAAAGACGGGTTATTGTATTCATAATTTTGATTTTGTAGGGAAGAAACAACTATTGGAACAAGTTAGTTTAAAAAATAGCACTTGTTTCAGATTAAAAAAAAAAAAAGCCATTCAAATAGTCCTTATATGCAGCAGAATACCAAATTTTGTTGTTTGTATGCACCCACCCACAGCTCTAACATTCACTGAATCCTACCGGGTTAAAATCTTTTCAGATGCTCTGTGAAACAACTGTTTTTCAACTGGTATGTTTATGTCCTATATACATGCCTGACACAATATTAAGTGTTAGAAAGAAATCCTACTTTAACCTTTAAAATTTCCACCTGAAATGGAAAAAGTATGTCTGGATCGCCACAAAATCCATTTCCTACCCTTTCAGTAGGAAGCAACATTGCTGAAATAGGAGCAATCTTTGCGTAGGAAATTTAGGAATGCTCCTGAACATTGTATCAGGATGTTCTGTGCAGCTTGACACATGGGAAGAGAACAGGCAGTCAGTCTTCTTCCTGCAGTAAGTATTTTTCATACACCTACAGCCAAATCTCTAAGGACACAAGATGATTTCTGAATCAGTCTTATCTCAAAATTAAGGAAAAAAGTGCACATGGCCAACAACTTTGGGATGAATACCTTCATAAAATAAGATTACATAATACTCATTTGGTAAAATTGACAGCTAGTAGTATGTCTTGCCTTTTGTTAAAAGTTGTTAATTACTTTTATTGTCCTCTTTTCACATGAAAACACAAGTTATGTTAGGGCAGTAAGTCTTTACTGAGAAAACACATATGCATCCTTTGCTATAGTGATGAGCCTAAGGCTGGGGAATTACATCCTATGATCCAGATTTCAAAATATATGAGCAGAGAGGTCTCAGAGTTCACAGCTTTTTCTGCTAAACTGCTGTGGCAGTGGTAGAAATAAGCTCTTATTTTTATTTCAAGAAAATGCTTTGCACAATAAGATGTTCTAATCAAGAGCTTGCTGCAGATAACTTGTAGCATCCTGATTAACCCATTTATTTTTAAACCTGTCAGTCATTACCCTGTGCTATTAATGCATAACTTGGAAGCTTGTTCATAAATATGTGACATTTGGGTCACTGAGTGAATTATAATGATAGAATTATGGATAAAATTTGGAAGAGTACAGTATAATGTTTGGGAGATGTTTTAAATGTTTTTAAAACACCTTTCACTTATCTCCTTGCTTAACATCATAACAACAAAGACCTCTTTTTAGCATAAAAATCCCTGTTTTTCAAACAGTGATACAGGAAGAAGTTGTTTACATTTTCAGAAGTACCAACATACATCACTTATGACAAAAAAACCAAGCACTCCATAAGAAATGCTCAATCACTGTCAATCATACACACTAAAATATACATAAACCAAAGCATGTGGTATGAACTGTATTAGATTCAAACTGAACACAGAATTACAACTATAACAAACAAAACCCAAATAATTACTAGTGACTCACAGGCCTATTTACACATCTCACCAAACTATTGGAAAGGTAGGTAACCATAGAAACCTGTCAGCCTAAATTCAGCACTTCAAAATTTGTATTTAGTTTAAAATGCTGACAATTCTGTTTCTATTTGACAAAATTCGTATTTTTAAAGCCCTCAGTTTTTGACTTGGTACTTAAATAAATGCTTAAAATTATTTCATCTGTTGGCTACTAATAATCTGCCTTTTATATTTGATTTTACCCAAGTAAAAATTGCTTGCTTGCTCTCAGTAATATAAAATGTTAATATATTTTAATATTGCAAATTAATTTCTAACATTTCTTTAATGACTGAAATTAAATAACAATATAAAACAAACACTTCTGCACTTACTATCAAATGCTTTGCGTATGGACTTTTTTAAGCTGCACACTAGCAGAAAAAAGAAATCACTGAAATTAACTGTTAAAGCTGAAATGCTAATAGCCTTTTCAACTTATATCTCTTTTTCACTGAAAATTGCAATTTGCATGGCTTAAAATTTAATACTATCATTAGTACTAATGTCCTATATTTTACTTCATAAGCTAAATGAGTAAAATATAATTTTTGTAGTTCGCTGGCTCTTATACTTAGGCTGTAATGTTCAGTGTGTATTTCATTATGTAGATGAGCAATGGAAGTTGTCTAACATGATTTAAATGGGTCAACAGTATTTTCCTATTCACATTAATCATCCAGACAGCCACACACACAAAAAAAAGAGCTTTGAAAACTAACCTAGGAAATCCCTTTTTATCACTGACTCTTCCCAGCGCTCCAACAAGAGCCCCGGGAGCGGGAAGCCCAGGCCGGGCACGGCTGCCCACAGCTCCCGCCGCCGCCGGCCCCGCTCCCGGGCTGCCCGCGGCCCCGTGCCAAGAATGATTCTCGTCCCGCCACCTTCAATGGGAGCTGTGTGTTGACAAACTGAGCGAATCTGAATCGGCAAAATTCATTCTTGGCACGGGGACACAGGACTGTGCTGAAAGCAAAGGCGCGCTGCCCGCTCCGCAGCACTGGCTGCCGGCTTCTTCTGGCGCAAACACACTTGTCAGAGCTCCCGCTGAAGTCAAAGGACACGGGATGAGGCCGTTCATTGCCAATTGTTTATAAAACACATAAAAATTAAGGGTTCTATTCACGAGCCATGTAACTACCATCTACGGCCCACTTCATATATGGCATATGGCAAATAAAATGGCAATTTATAAATAACCTAGCCCTTCTGTAGAAAAGGAAGCTGTTCTAATAAATGATAAAGGGCAAGAGCATAAGTGTAAAACAGGCAGAAAGTAACACAATTATTGTGTACCAAACATTCAGACTAATTTATTCAAAAAATGTAGTATTAAGTTAAAACAAAAAAAGCCCCAACAAAACAAACAAACAAAAACCTCATCTCTGAACTATCTTCACCAGGCTATTCACTAATGTACAGTTTATTGGAATATTCTACTGTCTGTTTTTCTAAGCTAGACAGAGTAAGCAAGGCCTCCTTGCAAGAATTTCTGTCCCAAACTCCTTTTTCTAGACTGAAAAGGGTTTACAGTCTTTTCTGCACAGATAGTAAATCTGTAAGAAGAAATAAATGTTTTGCACTCCACAAGATGAAGATAATCTAACTTGCCAGCAAAATATGACAGGCAATTCTCCTGGGCATGTTTAGCTACCTTGTCTGCAAAACTGGGTAGTAATGTATGAAATTCTCTATAGGGACATCCATTTAATCAATTACTAATCTGTAAACTCAACTCAGAACTTCTAGATTCAGTCAATTACATACTAAGAATCCTGCTGCATGCTTTTTTGAGAAACGTGAAGACTTCACATGGAGAATGTGAAGTTTATCTCAATCTATATGCATTTCAATATACTATTGGAAAGTGATGGGACTTGTGAATTTGAGTCTTACAGCCCTGGCCACAACTTCATAAATGTCAAGGCTCCTGATCTGTATTCAGTAGGCAAAGAGCTACAATAAAGTTGATTCTAATGCAGCTGTTCCCCTGGCAATGTTGGAAACCTTATGCCCATGCCTGGGCCATTCTTGCTCATCCTGCAGTAATTGGTTAGTCCATTGTCATCGCTTGTCACACCAGAGGAGACATGAGAGAATCGCTGCTTTTCCCCAGACGCTCCAGCAGATTATTTTCATCTGGTTGAATTTTCAGCAGCCAACACCCCACCAACCTGTTTGCAACACCCATCTGGTTTCCACAGCTGGGGATACTGTTGCAGCAATCTCTGCCAAAGTCTTTCCATCAGCTACCTCACTCTATACCTGATTTTGTGAAGCAGCTTTTACAGAAGAGTTATTTGGACAAAACAGCCTCCAAATGAACAAAAACAAGACTGTCTTTATCAAGGAGATTTTAGAAACAGCCACTTCTGCAGTCCTTGGTTTGCTCTGCAATTACATTCTTGCTAGAAAACATGTATTAGTTAAGGAGAGTATTATACAACTCAACTCTCTTAGGTGATATAATGGTACTAGTCAGAATGCTGCTGGGACGGTTATATCAGCAAAATAATTCTTGCTGGTTCAACTTGAGTTTTTGGAGCAAGCTTTTGATTTAAGCTTTCCTAGAAGAGAACTATTCTCATGAGATGAGCTTCTGCTGATCTAGCAGGGTGTGTTAGAACATGAATAAATCTTTATAAACCCAGACAAGACCCACTACTGTATTTACTTCTTTAAAGAACACCCATTTCTACCATGACTCATAGAATTACATTAATAATAATCAGTGTAGAACAACTAGAAATGGCTTGGAGAGGTCAGACCTGCCTAGCCGCCTCACAGGTGTTACTTCAAAAAGGACATGGCAATGACATTAAGTCTTGTCATCACCTACCATTTCACCCACAAGGCACGAGTGTGACTTGATGCTCAGATCTGCACAAATGGCTACAGGCAACACTTCCTCTCAGTGTCTTTGTGAGATGTCTACCCACTTTGTCCAGTGGAAAAGGACCTCAACTCAATAGCTCTAGATGAGTTTACAAGCACACTCAAGAGCTGAGAAGTCAAGCAGAATACAAGCAGATCTGCAGTTACTGCATCATTTCTTACATAAAGAATCTCCATTTTACATGGAGAGAAGCTAGGACTTTACTGTTGCTTCTGCCCAACTCCATCTTCACCTGTGTCTATCAGTAAATCTGAGACTGAACAGCTGGAATTTATATGAGAAACAAACTTGCCATTTTCTTTCAATGTTATGCCACATCTGTTGACTTTCTTTTATAAAAAATACATAAGGCAGGATATAATTTAAATTTATGTACAAAAAAGCATCAAACAGATAATCTGAGAAGTGTACAAATTTCTACACAGCGCATCTTATATGCTGCAAGTATTCATGTATAAATTTATTAATGCATGTTCTTACTGCAATAGTTCCTCACGGTTCAAAATAAGCTTGATCTAAAATGAAACATAACTTTAAACAGGTTTTAACAATGAATACCTGAACATAAACATCTTTAAAATGTGAAAGCTGAAGACTTTATAGAGCTGGTTACAGTGGCTGGTTATGTATAATCGAAACTCCAAAGAGAACAGTGTGGCTTTCAAAGACACCCACAGAAGTTTTCTCAGGCTGCACGCTGGAGAGTATGTCTGCCAAAAGACCTCCAAGGAGCTCTGAAGACCCTTTTATTCTCCCTTCTAAGCCTTCCATGCATCAGAGCAGCTTGTTGAACACTTTGTTTTTAACATTCTTTTTTTTTCTTCAGAAATTAAGAAGAGAAAGACATTACTGATTTGGAAAGGACATAATCTCTAAAAGAACAATGAACAAACTTTCCATACCTTGTTTCAAGTCATACAAAGAGAATGTAAAAAATGACCAACTGAGAAGAAACCCTTATTATACAACTACACAGTTTTAATGTTTTGAAACATTTCCTTTTAAAAAAATCTTCTAGAGTCTGTTTTCACCCTAGATAATATCAAAGACCAATGGTGTGACCTGAACAGGTGAACACAAAATATGACTGTTCTTAAATGGAAACTAGAACCTGACTTCATACAGCGCCTTCATACTTAGTGTGTTATAAATTGTTTTAAATACTGGCAGGCAAACAGCCATTATGCACTCAAGAGTTCATATGTAATAATACTTAGCATTTTGATAGAGCTTTTCATCTTCCAAGTGCTTTACAAACAACTCATTAATCTCAACAAATGCACCTGCAAGGTAGATAAATATCTGCATTGTAGGTGGAGAAAGACACAGAAAGTTCAATGACTCATCCAAAGCTATGCACACTACCAGCCCCAAATATCCCTAGCTCCTGGCTCCTAGTGCCATGGAGGACCTGAGCCCCACTGTGTGTTGAGATCATGTCTTCTCTTGAGCCACAGAGCTGCAGGAGAACTTATTTTACCGCGAGGCAGTGGCAGAGTGCCAGCCTAGCAGGAGACCCTCCTTTTTCCAAAGCTGGTTAAGTTCCCAAGGACTGATAGCTCCCACCAGGATCACCAACCCCAGGAAGTGGGAAGTCCATGAGATGCCAAAGTGAGACTCACAACATAGATTCTCAAACTGGTTCACCATCAAGCAGTGAGCTGAAAAAGGCTCTGCACTGGCAGAAGCCTTTGTCTCTCTCCCTGTTTATTTCTAGTTGCTGCATAGACTCCAGAGCAGCAGATTCCCACAAGTCAGACAACAGAACTCTGAAGTCTCTGAGTACTGCCACGATCCAAGAAAACAGCTTCACTCCTCTGGTGTTCTCTAACTATTAAAAGTTTGTAATGAAATTTTGCCTTCAAGAATGGTAATTCTCGTTGGTGACCAGAAAAAAAAAAAAATCTTAACATGATTACACTGCATGACTTTATTTTTAACTTTCTGAGTTTTAAAAGTATCAGGTATGATTGTTCTTAAACCTCAGAAATACTAGGAATGTCAAACCTAGAGCAGATGAGAAACGTGGAAGGTGTGAACAATACAATACATGTACTGTGCTACAGCAGACTTTATATTCCCTTACACTGAGAAAATGAATAATGAACTTTTAGTAATAACATATTTATTTCAGATGTTTATTAGTCATTAGATTTAAATATATAAATCTGACAATTCTCATCTGTTCATTCTTCGCATTTGTGAGCCCAGAGCAAGTTCTCCAGCCACTGTAGTTCCTCCCTGGACAAAACACTCATGTTTAAAAATATAGGTTAGTCAGACAAACTGTTACAATAACAGAAAGACAAATCCCACTTTTTCTTAAGATATCGAAGAAAAAAATCTCTCTATAAGTAATGGTATAACACATTAGTTAAGCAAACACAACCAGCAAAAGAGAAATGAATGACAAAAATGTATGCAGCTAAAAGAGCTCTGCCAGCCTGCCCAGTTGACCTGGGTATAAAAGGCAAAATAAGAAGAAAGAAGCAGCCTTTAATTACTCTTCCCCATCTTAATGTTTTAAACTTATAAAGAAAAAAAATAACAAGCCCACATAATCCAAAACAACATGAAGAAACAACTCCTGATCATACTCCTGATCATTAAACAGAAAGTACAAGTTTTCCACAATTAGAAGACTTTTAAGCTTATTATTTCATTGATTTAAAGTGAGCTTGTGTCTGACTGCCAACACCCTGCTTTTAAAAAAAGAAGTCAAATCTACAACTCCCAATGAAAATAAAGGCATATAAGAGCAAACTAAAAATATAAGATACAGGAAATAAAATTAGACTTAATTACATTGAGC